TTGTGACACAGGCCAGCCTGATGTCGACTTTCTAGTCACCAGAATCATGACTTAAGTAAGCCTCTATTTTTATAACTTCTCCCTGTCTTAGGTGTTTCTGTAAGCAACTCAACAATGAGCTAAGGCATGGAGGAGGCCTGGAAGACTACGTCCTTGGAAGTGAGTGAGTGAGTGAGTGAGCACTGGGCAGCCAAGGCGGTGTGTAGGGGGTGCTGGCCCTGCTTTTGTTCTTTCTGTCCCCTTCACCACCTCTTCTCTCACTGACTTGAGATGAGACGCTGGTAGGTAAGCAATGACTGCCCACCCCAGGAAGTGCCCTTGCCCACCACTAGGAAGCCGTGTTCCCTCCTGGGAGTGTTATGGTCTAAGCAGTTCAGGACAACCCTGGTGCCGCTCAGATCCGGCAGGGCTCAGGCATCTTCCGTGCTGGTCTCCAGCAGTGCTGGGTCTCTTAGAGGACTCTGCCGTTTATTACTTTCTGTGGACTAAAAAGAAGACAATATAGCAAACGTAAAAAACAAGAACATGTAAGAAAGAAAATACACAGAACAATTTTTGACTCAACCCCATCTGATTGGTTCAGGAAACAATTATTCATTGAGCACCTACTATGTGCCAGGCCCTGTTCTCGGTTGGGGTTGGGATATAGCAGTGAAGAAATAGAAGTCCCTGTACTCTGGAGCGTAGATTCTGGTCAGGGAGTCGGCCAATAAGGCCGAGGGGTAGAGGCTGATGGGACCGGGCACCATTTATGATAGGGTAGCCAGAAAAAGAGGAAGTAAAGTACATGGGCATTTGGGGAAACATGTTTTAGGCAGAAAAAAAAAATTAAAAGCCAGGAAGTGTCCAGGTGTTGGGTGAGAGCGTGCTTGGTAGGTTCGGGGATCTGAAGAGAGCAGATGTCTGCAGATGAGTCCGAGGGCAGCCGGGGTGGGGACATGCGGGACTCGGAGGGCATGCTAAGGACCTTGGGTTGCTTTTGAGGGAAATGGAAATCCAATGTAAAGCCTTAAATAGAAGACTGGCCTTGTGTTTTGAAATCATCACTCGGGACACTGTGGAAAAGAGACGGGCTGGAGTAGGAACTGCCAGTGTGGGAGCTGGGAAGCCAGTCAAGAGGTCGCTGCATCAGCAAAACAGCTGTCAAAGCAGAGCTGCCCTGGGCGAGGCAGGTGTGGAGGTGCAGAGAGGACCTTTCCTCTCAGTTGGAGGTTCCGCTGTGGAACCCCAGGGTGCACAGTTTGAGAGCTCTGGGTTAGAGGGTCTCTAAGAGCCCTTCCAGCTCTGGGCTCTTGAGCTCTCCTGACCCTGCTTGCAAGGTGGTTTTAGGCCTGGATCTGATTCTGTGGTGCTAGGCTGATTCTCTACTGCCCAAGCCTCTTGGTTTAAGGTCTCGGCAGGAGAAATATTTTGAAAATCACAATTTGAATGTGGCCAGCCCTGTGCAGGGTTTATAATGATGAGGAAGATAAGGCATATGCCCCAGGAAACTCACTGGCTGGGATGGGGACCAGGAAAGCACACACATGGCCCAAGTCGAAGGCCTCAGGGGTCCCTGGCCCCCTCTTGTCTTGTCTTTTCCCCCTTTCCTGGTTCCCAAACCATGCCGGTCAGGAGGTCATCCGAGGATCTCTGACTGCTCCTTCAAAGATTCTCATTCAGCTGGCTCAGGGTGGTCTGAAAAGCTCCTGGGAGAAACTGAAGCCTGTTGGATTGGGAACCATGGCAACCTCCCAGTCTCAGCCACCTTAAGTCCACCGGCCTGGCCCCCATTGGGATTAACTCCTCATTGTCTCAGGAAATCTTGCCTGGGCTGAGCTATTGGTCTGTGAGACCTTCTCGTGGCCTGAACTGCCTTGAGAATACAACCAACCCTGATGACAATGTCCTTAGAAGGCACAGGGATCTGGTGGAGGGAGAACCTCAGCTGGTGGAAAAGAGTATGGGGGACAGGCAGAGTGAGTGCCTGGGACTCCATGACTCATCCCAGTGCCTGAGGAAAACCAGCTATCCCCAAACAGAGCGAGAGAAAGGAAGGAAGGAAGAAGAGAGGAGAGGAGGAGGGGGCACTGAATCTTGTGTGGACGAAGAGTCATTTTCTCTAAGTTACCAGGAAGAAAAAAATGTCAGCAAAACCAGACCAAGAGCCATCAGCTAAAGAGATTTTTCTGAGTCAGACTTCTTTTCTGGAAGCTGTGAACTTTATTTTCCAGCAGCCATTAATCTAATAGTAAGCCCCTTAACCTTCCTAATTGTTCTTTTCCAGTGTCAGCTGCTTTCATATTAACCTTTCAATCTTTTCCATAATGCAGTTACCTCCAACTCCAGCCGGACCTGATTCAGGAGCTGCGGTTGGCCCAGAACTTTCCACCCTCTTGGCCACACTCCCTTCCTCTGCAACCTGCTGGCTTTCTGAAGGTGCTGCCGGAGAGTCCCCTGAGTGTGCTGTTCAGCGCCTGGCTCTGGGCTGAGCGGAGCCTGAGGGACACATTTTGCCAACCTGACCTGGCGCCTCGGTGCTGCTGGGCTGCAGTGACTTCAATTATTTCAGATAGAGGCTGCCAGCGGGAGGCCACTAGGCCAGTCCCCGCCTGCCAGGGCTGATCAGCTTCAGGCCATTTCTGTGGCTGAGTGTTTGAGCTTGTTTTCCTTCTCTCAGGAGAATTCATTGAAATCGTTTCTCTGGAAAAGACAAAGCTGGCCCGGACACAGCAGGAACATGTGGTGACTGCCTGCCTTGGGTTCCTGCTGTCCCCGTGAGGACTGGCCGGCTGTGAAGCTAGCCCGGTGGGTCTATCTCCAAAACGGCCACCCAGAAGTAGCCCTGGGATGCCAGCCACATGGCCTGAGTTCCAATCCTGGCCTCTGCTCCCAGCAGTGAGGGGCAGTTTGGGGCAGGGCTTTGGACTCCTTGGGCAGTTGCTAAGTAATGGAAGCAGGGAGGGCCGGGCAAGGCCTTTTGCTCCATGAAGACGCCAGCGGGGCACTTCTTTCCTTTGTAGCCGGGGTAGAAAGCTATGAAGACGGCCGGGTGGTGTATCAGACTGGATCCACACAGGAGGGGTCCCGGGTTTGCATCTCAGGACCTTTCTAAGTGCTTCCGGTGCACACATGTCCTGGGCTGTCTGGAGCTGGATCACATAATGGAGGCCCTGTTGGGACCAGCAGTTAGCGTAATGGCTATGTCGCTGAACTCCCATGTGGCCAACCGTGGTTTGAGTCCTGGCTGATTAAAGTCCCGTGGCTTAAACTCACACCAGGCGTGCGTGCGTGCGTGCCCAAGATCCAGAGAGGAGAATGGAGGAGAAGGGATTGCAGTGTGGCCATCCCCCCTTGGGGGTGATTTCTCGCTTTCTATCTCTCTGTCTCTCTCTGTCTTTCTGGCGAGTGCATGCGCCCTACAGCAAAAACTTCTCCTCCCCCAAAAAAAGTTAAAGAAATTAAAAAAAAAAAAAAAAGAACGGAGGCCCTGTGGAGGGTTCCCCCTCCCCCCAACTCCTGTCTCTCATGGAGGCAATGAAAGGATAGGCTTGAAAGAAAAAGAGAGTGAGAAGGGAGGGAAGGATGAAGGGAAAGGTCTACAATATTCTCTACCCAGTTCTTCATTTCTGGGCCAGCTGGGTGGCATAGGGGTTAAGGTGGCTGAATCCCACATGGCCGACTCAGTGGTAACTTGAAAAACACGCCGGGTGTATGTGTGCATGTGTTCCCAAAATCTGGGAGGAGAATGAAGACGGGATTGTGGCGTGGCCATTCCCTGACCCTCCCCATTCCCCCCACTGCCCCGGGGAGCGTGATTTCTCACTCTCTCCCCGGTGAGCACATGCCTTATATCTTTTTAAAATTTAGCAATTTTTTAAAGAAATAAAATGCTGTTTAGTTAAAAATAAAAAAATCAAATCCTCATTTCTTGGGGAATGGAAGCCCCGGCCATAGGCCAGGCTGCAGCATTCAGAGGCAGAAGGACTTCTCCAGGCTTCCCTGCTCGTCCTCCTGGGCAGGATGAGGAGATCAAGGTTGTCTTTGCAGCCGGGCACTGGGGTGGCGAGGCAGGGGCTGAGTGGGATGTGGGCAGCTTCTTCATGGCGTGTCCCAACAGAGGCCCTTCCTCTAGCCACCAAAGACCAGGGCCAGCTCTTCCCACGCCTTCCTGCCTGGGCTCCAGCGCCCCTGTTGGGTGGTTAGCCAGCCTGGTGTTTATTTTGTGCTTTGCCTGGTAAGGGACCCCCATGCAGCACCCCTGCTCCCTCCCTCACCCTGCACTCAAACAGCCCAGAGGGTGGGAAAAGGCAAGGCCAGCCCCTCCGTGCCCACGGCTCTCTCAGCTGGGCACGTGCACACGCAGAAGCTCACCTCCCTGCCCCACACCACAGCCTCTTCTCAGTGTCACAGACACAGGGGCCCTTTTCCCAGTGGGTGAGGTGTGGATGAGTGAAGTCTCACACAGACATGCACACGCGCGCACGCGCACGCACACACACAGAGATACATACAACTGTGAGTAGGAAGAGGGGATAGAGACCTTTGTGGCCTAGAAAGGTCAGTCACTAGCTCGTCACCCAGCCATGGTGCTATGTGCTGCCCAGATGCTATGTTCCGCAGGCTGGGACCACACAGGAGGTCCAGGTTTGGTTCCTTGTCCATCCTGAAGGCCGGGCACGGTGGTGTGTGTCTGTAATCCCAGCGGCTGGCTGAGGCAGGAGGATTATGTGCTTGAGGCTGTCCTGAGCAATGTAGCAAGACTATCTAAGACACTTCAGGCCTAGTGGGGCACACCTGTAATCCCAGTTGGAGGTGGAGGCAGGAGGATTGTGACACAGTGAGACCCTGTCTTTAAAAAGAAGAAAAAAATGACCCTCAGGATTCCTGCAACACCTCCCTGCTTGTCCACCCTCCCCTCCCCACCCCACCCCCACTTTGCTTCTCTCCTGCCAGGCCTGCTGCCTGGGGTGGTGCCTTCGTTGCCATAACAACCAATTGTTCTGTCACAGAGACAAGATCCTGACTCCAGGTGGGTTATGAACAGAAGAAACATAGGAAACCACTAAGCAACAGAGATCTAGATTTCCAGCAAGTGTCCCTGCTAATGAAGAAGAGGAAATTCACCAACTAGAAGATAGATGAAACAGTGATGAGTGAAAGCGAAATTTTCCATGAGGCACCAGCTGTTAGTTAAAAACAACAGTGACAAGCTAATAGGTTGGACAAGAATGATGCTGGCAAGGACAACCCAGAACTGCTCCTGTCAGTCTGCAGATCACCTGCAATGGCATGGCTGGGCAGGCGCAATGTAAGTTTGGCTTTTTTTTTTCTTTTAGTGAGGTTTTTGCTATAGAGCACGTGTGCTCTCCAGAAAGACAGAGAGACACAGAGAGACAGAAAGCGAGAAATTACTGGGATGGCCACACCGCAATCCCTTCTCCTCCATTGTCCTCTCAGGATCTTGGGCATGCACGCACACACACTCGGCATGAGTTTAAGCCACTGGGTCCGGGACTCAAACTGTGGTTGACTACATGGGAATCCAGCGACATAGCCATTACACCAACTGCTGGTCCCCACCCCTAATGCTTTTATGGGAAAAGCTGCACCACTGAGGTTGTGAATCGGGCAGGACCTAATGGGACGCGTGCATCCGGGCACACATTCCAGGAGGACTCCCCAGGGCTAACTGGGGGATAGTACCCCAAGCACAAACTTCACTGCTAAGAGAGAATTGGGGACAAGACAGTCTGAATTACGAAGCGCATGGTTACTCTACAGGCAGGACAGAGGCGGAGCTGCAGGCAGGGAACCAGAGTCCAGGTCAGTCGGAGCCAGTTACTCACGCTCTTGAACAGCAAACCCGGAGCAAGGCCTTCCCAAGCTCGGTCCTCATGGTGTAGATGGGTGGCTGGCTCTTCCATCTTGCTCTGTGTTCTGCCTCCGCGCGCATGCTTTAAGTACGAAACTGTGAACGCCAGATGGATCTGAGGTGTGGAATGTTTTCAGTGGGTAAACCAAGACCATCGACCCACCATGTCCACCAATGAAATTTGTGCTTGTTCGATTCGTCATCACCAAACACCTGCTATGTGACATTCACAAAGTTAGATAGCACAAACCAAGGTAAGAAGTGATGGCATCTTTGAGGCCCTCACGGGTTGGGGAACAGTCAGGCACATGCTCAGACCTGCAGGCCCACGCTGGCACTCAGGTGTGGGCAGAGCCCACTGGGCCTAAAGAGGACATCTCTGGATGCCCCAAGTGGGGCAGCGTGGCAGCGGGAGACAGCCTCAGAGAGGAGAAAGGCACGCTGTGTGGAGGGGTGGTGCTGCAGAGGCCCCACATGCCCCAGGGGCCTGGGGAGCATGGGGAGGGTTGGCGGACATGCCGTGTGAGGGTGGTGCTCTCACATCAGCATTCTTCTCAAAGATCTCGAGGTAGCAGACCACACAGGGAAGAAGGGGAAGTAAGTTAAAGGAAAAGAAAACAGGCCAGATCCCAGGAGAGAAGCAATCAGGCGATTTGTGAAGGCAAATCCTCAGCTAGAGGAGGTTAATGGAGATGTCAATGACCCGGGTGTTCAGGCCTTCCTCACCGAGACCCTGGGGTGCAGCTGAGAGATGGACTCGTGGGGAGGAGCTGGGAAGGAGCATGCCAAGTTTGGAAAAGACAGGGACTGAGGATGCCGGGAAGCCCGACCACTCAGCTGGGCCCCAGAACATGGTGGGCAGGGTGCTTTACCCTCCCTGAAACTGGCAGAGGGCTGGAGGCCTGGGTTCAGTGCAGAGCAATGTCAGTCTCCTGAAACACCCAGGAAGGTCCAGGGGGTGGATTACAGGCAACGGTGCAGAGATGATCTCGGCCAGAGACAACTCCCTGTCTGTGAGCTTTTTATGCCTTTCCTCTTACCACCATCGCAGCAAGCACGTCCACAGGCTCTCCTAAAACCTAACCGGTAGTCGATCAATATGTATTCCCCAGCAACTACTTGGTGTTATTCATTACTCTAAGAATTCTCAGGGCTTGACAGAGGCATTGTTCGTGCCCAGGAGGGGTTTAGAAGACAGCTGGGAGTTTACTTACGTGTGTGAAAGTTTATATGAGCAATTATATCCTGTTGAAGGGCTCAGCCAGGAGCGCGAGCAGAGAGGATTAGAGGAGAGACAGAGAGAGAACCCAGCACAATCTCTTGGGACTGCTTGATCAGGAGGAAGTCTCCATGGAGAAACTGGAATTCGTGTGTCTTGAAAGACGGGTAGATGGAGAGAAAGGGGTCAGAGCACAGATGTGTTTGGGAGTGATGAAGCTTGTGGAACACACATTCAGCAGTGGCTGCTAGACAGCTCTGGTCTTGGAGGAAGCCTGGGCACCAGCAGGAAAGAGGCTCTCTTTTGACATTGGAAATACACTTCAACTTCAATCAGCGCAGATTCAGGTCTGAATCCTGGATCTGCCGCATCGTAGCCAGATAGGCCTGGGTAACATCCTTACCTTCTGCATGCCTAATTTGTCTCATCTGTAAAATGAGAGTGGGGGTAAATGTCTATCTGAAAGGGCTGCTGGAGAAATGGAATTAAATGTGACAACAGGTAAAATCTCTCCAGGGATACTGGTCCCCTTGACCTTTCCTGGCTCATCAGAATGCTTTATTTAAAACCAAAGGAAGCAGGGCCAGCAGGTGGCATGGTGGTTAAGGGTGCTGGACTCCCACATGGCTGGCCATGGTTCGAATCTTGGACCTGGCAGTTTGCTCTTTCACTTTCTCTCTCTCTCCCTTGCTCTGTCCCTCTCTGGTCAAAATAAAATAAATAAATAAAGTTAGATAAAATAATTCTTTTTCTTTTTTTTGGAGAAGTTTTCGCTATAGGGCATGTGTGCTTGCCAGACAGACAGAGAGAGACATAGAGACAGAAAGCGAGAAATCACCCCCCAGGGGGGATGGTCACGCCGCAATCCCTTCTCCTCCATTCTCCTCTTGGGATCTTGGGCACGCATGCACACGTGCCCGGCGTGAGTTTTAAGCCATCGGGTCCGGGACACGAACCGCAGTCGACTACGTGGGAGTCCAGCGACATAGCCATTATGCTAACTGCTGGTTCCCAATAAAATAATTCTTTAAAGAAAAACAAAACCAAAGGAAATATTCTAGAAGTCCTCTGAGTGCCCTTGCAGAAGTAAATATACAGATTGATCAGTGGGGAAAAAAAATATGTTTTTCTCCATCCTGTGGGGTGAGTTGACCATGCACACTTGTCTCCGGATGTTTGACTTCCTGAATCTTCCCTGAACAATGCCATCTCTGTCCTGGCACTCCTGGCAAGCAGTCCCATGGGGCCCAGGTTCTCATCACATGTTCTTTTCCTGGAGTGAGTCACTAGAGAATTGGGCTGTAGTCATAACCTTCACCAGCTGAGGGAGGTGAAAGTGGATTGGAATGAACACAAACACAGCACACCTCCGTGCTTAATGTTTCCTTCCACGCTCATTTTGCCCCAGGCCTTAACCTTGCAACTCTAAAAAGTAGGGTCCCATAATGAATGGGTAAGCTGAATGACCGCTTGTAGTCCACAAACAAAGGGCATTTCAACAGCCCAGGGTCTGAGACCTTATCTATTCCAATCCAATCAAGCCAGTTAGAAATTGGAGGGGGAATGACCACCTGCATGGTCCCAATGGAAAATTAGAAAAGCCGTGTTGTCATTCCTCAGGAAATGTGATAATAGGCAGAGAAAGGGAAAATCTAAATAACTGATGGAAAGATGTGAAGAATTTAAACTTTGAGGACTGACTGCATGTCTTCCTTGGGTTGCATAAGAATTAATTTTATGATGACAAGCATTAAATGATCAGCTGCACATAAATCCACATGTATCCCTGACATCCTCTTCTTTCCCCAAATTAGATGTGACCTTGGGATCTAAAGGTGTCATTACCAGGGGCAGCCAGAGTGCTGGTGCAGGAAAATAGCAGACTGAGAAACGGGGCAGTCTACGTCCCATCCGACACCTGCTGTGTGGCATCGGGCAAGCCGACTGGCTTCTCCGGGGTGGAGGTTCTTCATCTGAAAAATGAGTATTTTGTCTAGGATATTTTGTTTTTGAGAGGTTTTTGCTATAGGGTTCATGCTCTTGCCAGAAAGACAGAGAGACAGAAAGCGAGAAATCACCCCCCAGGGGGAATGGCCACACCACAATCCCTTCTCCTCCATTCTCCTCTCGGGATCTTGGGCACACACGCACACACACCCAGAGTGAGTTTAAGCCACTGGATTTGGGACTCGAACTGCAGTCGACTACATGGGAGTCCAGCAACATAGCCATTACGCCAACGGCTGGTTCCTGTCTAGGTTATTTCAAGTTTACTTTCAAATACTTCCACCTTTCCCCCACCCAAAGTTTTTATTTTCATGACCACTCAAATTTAAAGTCTTAAAATAAATAAGGGATATAGGTGAGTAGATGGCGTAATGGTTCCATTGCTGGACTCCCACATGGCCGATCACAGTTCGAGTCCCAGACCCAGTGGCCTGAAAATCACTCTGGGTGTGGGTGCATGTGTGCCCAAGATTCCAGGAGGAGAATGGAGGAGGGGATTGCAGCGGTGTCATCCTCCCTGGGGGGTGATTTCTCACTTTCCCTCTCACTGTCTCTGTCTCTCTCTCCCCAGTGAGCTCATGCATTCTAAGCCAAAAACCTTTTTAAAAAAATAAATAAGGAATATATGACAGCAATTTTTTTTGTATCACTCTATTATCTCTTGTAGTTCCTCAAAACAAGCCCAGAAGGGAGTCTGTTTGGGTGGGAGTCTTAGACCTACTGTTTTATATTCAAGTGACGTCTGCAACAGGAGTGGTGTAAATGGTCACCCCAGCTTTCCAAATGCAAGCCAGCAGGCCACTCCATGAGCTGTTCACCTTTAGATTCAATTCCCAACTGGTTCTTTTCCACAGAGCTCCAGCCGAGCACTGCAATTCTGCCCTACCAGTATCCACTGCATGTCACCCATGCGACAGGCTCCAGTGCTAGTGCTTTGAGCAAGCAAGCACGACCCCAGCCCTGCAGAAGCTCAGACTCTGGTAGGGGACACAAAAATACGTCATGTGGAGTCAGCCTGATACAGACATGAAGTCTTAGGACAACACTTAAGAAGGTGAGTCAATCTAGTTTGAGTAAAGCTCCACGCAAGACAATGCTTTTGCACTGAGCTGTGTGAGATGGGTAGGATTTCGGCAGGCTGCCACAAAGGAAGAGCATGCAATACAGAGGGAAGAGCCAGAGAAGGGCACCAAGGCAGAAAAGGGCAAGTTGTATTAAAAAATGGCAGATAGCCCTTTTCTTCTGGACCTTTAAGCATCTGAGATTAGAAATTTAGGCAAAAATCTATTAATAGAAAGTCTTGAACCATCAGGTGGTCCAGAGGTTAAGAAAGCTGGATACCACATGCCCAACTGTGAGGTTTGATTCTTGGACCTCACAGCTTGAAAAATACACTGGATGCGGGTTCATGTGTGTCCAAAATCCCAAGAGGAGAGTGAAGGAAAAGAAGAGATTGTGGGTGGCCATCCCCCCTAAGGATAATTTCTCTATCTGGCAAGTGCACGCATCTTATAGCAAAAAAAAAAAAAAAAAAAGAAAAGAAAAGAAAAAAAAATTGTGTGTGTGTGTGTGTGTGTGTGTGCATATCTCCAAAAAAGTTTGGACTTTGGTGCAAAACAGGGAAACCATGGTTATCCTTGAGCAGGGACGTATCATGCGGGGACTTGCGCCTTAGGAAGAGTAACCTGTCAGCAGAAAGACT